AGAGTTTGGTATGGTAACCTACTGGGCTAGCTCCTATCACGACAGTGATAGGAGCAGCTCTCCTATAAGAAGAGCTTGGCCCAGCCAATGTCCCCCCGCTCCGCGGCCTTGCAGGCCCTGTCTACCCATAGCCTTGTAGGCCCGGCCTGCCTCCCTGACTGTGGCCCTGCCGGCCCCGCCAACTCACGGCCCTGCACGCCCAGTTGGTCGCGTGACCTTGGCATCGGCCTATCACCCTCCTGGCTCGGCGTCAAGCCCCGCGGCCCTAGAATTAAACTCCCCTTTCTATTCCCCTTGCGTCGCGGCTTTATACCCGGCGCACACCTCTTTTTAGCTCACTTAGGCCCTGAATCGCGCGACTGACATTATTTTAGGTAGACTAGGTCTAACTTTAGTTTTTCCATGCCCGCACACTACTGCGGCTTCGTCGAGAACTGTGGACGACAGCGCGTACCGCCAACCCCCGCTGTCTCGAACAGACGTCGAAGACGTCACACGTCAGCGACGTCTTACGTCGACAACGTCAGGCTTTAAGTCTTTCAGTTATAAGGTTGGTCTGAATAAACTTTGGCAACGTCAATCTCATCATGTCTCCCAATCCAACAAAAAGTCGGACAGCGTCTGACCTTGAAAAGTTCGAGCAGAAACCCTCACAGGCGTTTCTGTTCCGACAGCGTGGAGATTACTCAGCGGTTTTTGGATATTTTATTTTACTTATCTGGTGTGTACGGAAGACGATCAACGGCGTTGTGGGGTTTTGTATCGATTTCAAGTATGAAGACTACCTACCTGATGTTCCCAAACTTCAAGAAAGATGTCACGTTCGCGATCATCGTCGGACAGGAGGCGGCACAGACACTCATCATCATCTTCCGGATCTCAAGGGAGGAAGCGCTCAAGAAGGGGGAGATCGAAAACTCCGAGAGATAGAAGACATATTAAGTCAAGATCACCATCGTCACGGAGAAGAAGGGCGGAGTCAGAATCTCCAAGGTGGTTCTCAATACCATTGTGGGAGCAAAGACAGAATGATTTCCCCCCACCGGGAAATCGAGCGTGGTTTACAGCGAATCTAAAGGAAGAAATCTCTAAGCTCCGCCGGGAGATGGACAAAGTTCTCAAGACACTGGAGCAACTCACACGAAAGACAAGTGGAAAGCAGCCAGCTCCTCCGAACAAGGAAGACATCGCAAAGAAGCCTGAGCTAACTCCGAACGCGCTCAAGTCCATCATTAATGAAGCACTGAAGCCGACAGAGATGAACCAAGGGGGACAAAATCAAGTTGGTCCAAGCGCAACCGGTCAGAAGAATGCAAAGGCGGAAGATAAAGTAGAAAGGATGGTATCGGAAGTGCAGAAGGAGGTCAACAACCTAAAGCTACTAAAGTATGATATGGCGGTTGTGAAGGGCGCGTTGCAAAAGATCAATGAACCGACTCGTACCTGCACTCCGATCGTGTCGTCTTCGGTTCATCCGAACAGATATGTGGGGACAATGGTTGGACTACCAACTTCAGTACATGATAGCCGCAACATTCTGAGTCGAAGCATGCCAAGCAGAAGCGCACCGAACAAAAGCATATTGGGACGCGTAATCCCTCCACACCCTAAAAGAGGACGAACGAAGATTAATCACAACGTGTCGGCAGCGAAGTCAAAGGCAAAACGGAGCATTAATTTCGGGGTCGAACCGATGACGGACATGCAGCTCCTTCGTCTTCACTACACGGACTAGAAGGTCTTATGCAAGATGCACTACATCAGGTACAAGGACAAGCCGCAAGCGATCTCGACATTGAGGCAAGTTCCTGGATTGATCGCCTACAAGGGGCGGGACTTCAACCGGGATTCTGATCTTAAAACACAGATTATGCCAGATCCATATAACATCAAAGTGTCCAATACAACTGACGGCGATACAAGTGAGGATGATTACGAGAGCTTTAGTACAAGATCAAGCGGGAGTGATGAGTATGACTCATCCGACACATCTTCGAGTGCCGAAGATCTGTCGGGAAGGTAGAAGACACCTCAGCATCAAGCGACCTCACCACGACACAGAAGTGGGAGCAGATACACAGGCTATCAACAAAAATTGAGCAATTAGTTAGTACAGAGAGTTTCACCTTGGAGTAAACATTTGTACGTGGGGAGGATAGGAAGATAGCCCGACAAGAGATGGACTGAACACATAAACTTGGCCAAGAATCCAAATAGAGGAGCACAGCGGAAGCTATACAGTTGACTGCACAAATTTGGTTGGGATAAATATGTTCTCATACCCATTTGGGTGGGAGTGAGATCAGAGGTGATAGGGATGGATGCAACACTGATTAAAAAACTGAATCCATTCTTGAATAGAAGGGGAAAAGACAGACAGACTCGGAAAAACCGAAGACGAAGAAGGAGAAAGAGGAAGAATAATGGAAACAATGAGCTGAATCAGAATATACGTGTTTTGTTTAAGAGCGACTGCGGGAGATCCTGAGGATAGATGACGAGTACACTGCAAGGATAGGGAAAGTGGCGGAGAAGGACTGGGAACGAAGGGTATAAATACTGAGGATAGTGGCTGAAATGATTACTTGAGCAGTGAGGTAGAAGGGTAATCGCGACTGGTGTCACATGCCATGGACATTACGTGTATGGTGTGAAAGTAAGACCTTGCACGTTCTGTCTACATTTGCATGTGTTTATCTTTCTCTCTCTCTCTCTCTCTCTCTCCCTCTTATCAACAAATGGAACGAAACTCTCTCTCTCTCTCTCTCTCTCTCTCTCTCTCTCTCTCTTTCTCTCTCTCTCTCTCTCTCTCTCTCTCTCTCTCTCTCTCTCTCTCTCTCTC